ATGTTTTCCTTTATATCATCCAGACAAAATTACCTGGTTCTACAAATCAGACTTGCCAGCATGGTAGTTGAAAGGACCGAGCAACATACCAGAACTGGAGCTGAATGATATATTTGGTTTGTATCAAACTCTCTATTTTTGTGATGCCTTTCTTTGGGAAAGTGTTTTCAAGTTAGTTGGGACGCAGTAGCTTGCTGTGTAGAAACTGTGTTCTGCAGTCATGAACGTGATATATAATGTTTTCATATTGTTCAGTCCATGGTCCGACTCGTTAATTTTCCTTGGTTTGAGAGCACCGAATTCTTGCTCTTAACTCTATATGAAAATGATCAATTTCAACATTGCTCTCACAGTACCCCAACATTAATAAAAACACATGTTCAAGTGGAAATATCAGTGGATCAGTCATCCGGCGGTACTGCTCATGTTGATCAAGTCATTTATCCTTTAAATGGATCAGGATATCACATTGTTCAACATTGTCAAACTGATTTACGAAACTCGTGCCAGAATTCATGTGCTACCCTCACTCCCCTACCCCTCTCCTCCCCAAATGATACCCAAACGTGCACATAGGCACTCTTGAAATAGTTTTCTATTAAGTATATTCGAGCATGAAGATAGGAATGTCACTCACACTCTGTTGACACAGAAATACTAACTACGCATACTTAATGTCAAGGTGACATGATATTATCTACTTGTGCAGCCAATATTGGTGGCCAGATTGGACTGTTTCTTGGGGCCAGCATACTCACCATCGTCGAACTCTTGGAACTAGTGGCCGCATGTTTGCTGGCAAGCCTGACGACCCTTTGGGCCAGACGTAAACGTGATGGTTGAGGAAGAACATGGACCACGGTAATGTTTGACCTTTGAGGATTCTATTCTTAATAGCAAATCTATTTCATGTTCTCATTTGGTTTGTTTGAAGATTTCCTTTATTATATAAAACAACATTTTAGGGAAGTGATTGTTAGACAGTGTTACATGATCAGTGCAGTTCTTTTAGGTCGAAATTCAATTCCAGGTTTAGTTGTAAAGACATAATCATTAGCACAACATTAAAGTTTTCAACTTCAGCATAAAGATAGGTTTCTGACAAAGTCTTCAGTAGCCAGTTTCTGTACGCAGCTTAAACAAAAGGTGAGCGTCGAAGCTTGGGGCGCGAGCCTGAGTGAGCCGCCTCAGGGTGCAGATCTTGGTGGTAGTAGCAAATACTCAGAGAATCAATTTAACTTCTTACAAGGGCCAGTACTCATGTTAGGTAAAACCTCAATATTTATAGGTTTTTGGTAAGTCAGTTCGATTATAGTTTCCCCGCAGTAGACTAACTGCGATAAATAAAGAAATAAGGGCATCTTCAGTTTCATATAATGCTCTCACAATATTTAAGTTTTCCACTTCAGAGATGACAAATCTTACTGTTCATTCACATGGCCAGTATTTCGATAAAATAACCATTTCACTGTTAAGCTAATGCGTTTGAAAGCCCTAACAAACCAACTTGTTAAATGCTATATTCAGAACTCGTGCAAACTCGTGAATACAGCGAACAGTTTTGGAACCATTTGTTGGAATGTGGACAAATAGCATTACTGAATATTGCAAAATATGCTGCTGATACATTGATTGCACCAAAACAAAACTGCTGTCGAAGTAATTCATACCGTTTGTTGACCAGCTGATGACAAAGAATAGCCACTAACATAGCACTGACCATAAATTATCACAATTCTCTGTCAAGACTATGAAAGAAACATATTCAAAATACAAACAAACATATATCATTTAGATCGTAATAATCAGGACCGTTCATATTCCTTCAAAATGTGTGATAATTATTAAGCAATTGTGAGTGGGACGCTTCGATATAGATCGACAAGGAAAACGAATCTGTATGAAACGTAGGACTAACGAAATATAATAAGTTGTTATCCATAGGGTTTGTCAATATTGTACTTCCAAACTCTAAAATGCCCCTCAAAGAAATTGTTACAATTTTTTCATTTTGTCATACATTGTCATGCATTTAGATACAATATTATTTGCTGCTTGCCTTGTTTCAGATTGCTCCAGTCTCGAGGAAGCTTGATCCCTGCTGTGTTGAATTGTAGATATTCATGTTCCATTGAATACATATGTCGGTTTTTTAAATAATAACGAGGCTTTGTGTTGTGGTTACTTTCTCCTCCGAAGTTAAAGTTTAACGCTTCACTGCGTCCATCTAAACATTGTAAAATATGGCTTCCAAACACAGCCTTGAGAAATATTGGTTGATGTATGTTGTCAGAGATAAGCCTTAAACACATCACTGACATGAAATGTAAATTATTTGTAGTTTCAAGCATGAGTTAGAAGAACTAATCGTCGGATCCCATTGTATGATATAATCCCTACCCACCAGCAACACATACCTCGACTACCTGGAAAATGCATTTGGTTCATTCACTCACTTTAAAAAAGGAAGCTCTGTGGAGCCCTGTTGTGCCATGTTCGAGAAACGCCGTCGCCACAGCATGATCACTTTCATCTGCATCAAATGTTTTCAGAAAAGAATGTGTGTCTTCTCTTTTCACAAAATCACATTTCAACGGCAAAAGTTGTAATAACATACATTCATAAAGCTGTATGGTGATGTTGCCTTTGTTTGGTTGATTGGTTTATTGGTTGATTGTTCTTTCTTTCCTTCTTTGTATTGCTTTAATTGTTAAATATCATCGAAATGAAACATTTATATACATCACGGATATCATAGGTTGTTTTAGTTGTAGGCGTACATCTGGTGATCAAGGGTGTAGTTGTAAGAAAAGAATCCAGATCATTATATTCAAAGTTTTCTTTACTTTGAAAGAGGAAAAACAAATATACTTATTTTCTAAGCTGTGTGCTAAGTTTCTTTATGCTTGAATGACTTGGGTTACAATGTGCCTTGGCATTTGATCATGAAAAGGACAACCATGTTTCATTATGAATGAAGATTTAAATGTATCCTTCAAGACCCCACACATTCACCCTAAATTAATGCTGTCTAAAGATTCCAAATCTTCCCCAGAAAACATTAAACAGAACAATCTAGTGATCAGCTTTGATATATTCTATAAATGAGCAGTAAACCTTTAGAATAGAAACTAATTAATTCCTCTCTGCCTTAAATGTACATATAACTGTGGTTACCGAGATCCTCTTTGGTGTTTTGCCTGTTCATAAACAAGGTGGCAATACAGTCGATGATTTGATCATGAACATGATCTAATAACCAGCATGGGTAACGTTATCATGGTATATATTGTTAGTTGGTTGTGTATTACAGCTATATGGCGTCGGTTTGTAAATAATCGAATCTGGACCACACAATCCAGTGATCAACAGCATGAGCATTGGTCTGGGATACGATGACATGTGTCAACCAAGTCAGCGAATCTGACCACCCGATCTCGTAGGTCGCTTCTTATGAAAAGCACGGGTTGTTGAAGATCGATTTTAACCTTTATCTATTCGGGTAGTAGATATTGTCAGTATGAAACAAACCAATGAACAGAATTAATCAACACTGTGTTATATTACCTCACCGAGGGCAAATGTCAACAAAAATTAACGTACTTGATACCAAGTACAAAAATAATCATTTAAAATCATCAGAAAAAATATTACCATTTCATGAGGGCACTGTAGTTTTCCAACAGAATTAGTGTTTAGTGTTCTTCGCTGTATTAAATATTTACACACACACACACACACACACACACACACACACACACACACACACACACACACACACACACACACACACACACACACACACACACACACACACACACACACAAATTTATCAAAAGAGGACGTTAAGGTAACCGGCATATACACTTATCCAACCAATGTTGATAGACCAACATTATTAATTTAACATCAATATTCTAATGTGGGGAGGTCATCATGCGAATGTGGATCGTAAATATCTTGTATTAGGAAAACACTGTGTGTTTTGAGAGCCTTGGCGTACATATTACTGCACCGGACTGTACTATTGGTTTACGATGATCACAATCAAACAAATACAAAGATTCTACACATTATTACGGTTCTGAAAAGTTTTATTAAAATACAGTACATATTATTATATAATTAACTTCATAGATGTTTGTCGGCTCAGGTAAAATGTTACACCAATCGCAATAAATGTGTATTTCCTGCCCAAACTGTAAAGGTCTGTAACATATGCAGTACCGTTGAAAAGAGTGAGTGAGTGAGTTTAGTTTTCGCAATATTCCAGCTATATGGCGGCGGTCTGCAAATAATCGAGTCTGGACCATACAATCCAGTCATCAACAGCATGAGCATCGAGCGCAATTGACATATGTCAACTAAGTCAGCGAGTCTGACTACCCGATCCGTTCGTCGCCTCTTACAACAAGCATGGGTTACTGAAGGTACATTCTAACCCGGACCTTCATGGGGAGACAAGCATGGGTTACTGAAGATACATTCTAACCCGGACCTTCACGGGTAACCGTTGATAAGAGAGACCAGGATTTCAACAAACTGCACAAATGCCCAGCAACTGTAAAAACATCGATCAATTGGGCAGCTATAACATGCACTCAGACAAGTTCCGAGAAAGCAAATTAAAAACATCGGATGATCTGTTTAAATCACATCAAATATAACCTATGACAGATGGAACAAAAAACAAAACAAAAGCTCGTGTTAACAATTTACAGTTCAATTGTAAATCTGTTTGACTAAGATGAATATTACACAGATAACACAATTCGTCACACACTGTGTTCAATAAATATATTTACTCAGAGACTGATATAACAGCTCTGGCACTGTTGACCATTAAACAATTATGATATTGTATTACTTCATCAAACAACAGGACGTCTGGGGTGATTTCATTGATGATACTCTGAAAACATGACCTGTCAACCTTTTTCCAGACCACACAGCAAGCATTGATCATATTCTTTGAATGCGGCGTTGTCTCCACTGGCAGGATGAGGTTGGGGCCCGTGGTCCCTCTTAAGGATAGTGTGACATTGCGGGAAGAAGTCATATCTCAGTGGCAGGACTTATGGCGAGACTTCCTGCAAAATACCAGCCTCCATGGCAGTAAGAATATCAATTGTCACAAGCGTCATAAAATTGTCAGGTGAGTCGCGTCATTTGGGGCAGTTTGTGTTTCTTGATCGAGATATCCTTATGGAAATGAATAAATGTATTGTTTTGATGTTGCTTGACGCTCCACTCTGCAATATTCCAACTGTACTGCAGCAGCCTTTAAATAATCGTGTCTGGACCAGAAAATCCAGTGCTTCACAGCACGAGCAGCGATCTAAGCTGTGATATAATGACTTGTTTCAACCAAGTCAGCAAGCCTGACCACCCGATCCCGTTAGTCGCTTCTTACGACAAGCATGGGTTTGCTGAGATCAATTCTAACGCCGCACTCAGCAAATTTCCAGCTATATGGCGGCGGTCTGTAAATAATCGAGTCTGAACCAGACATTCCAGGTATCGACAACATGAACATCGACAGGGATACGATGACATGTGCCAACCAAGTCGGCGTGCCTGACCACCCGATCCCGTTAGTCGCTTCTTACGACAAGCATGGGTTTGCTGAGATCAATTCTAACGCCGCACTCAGCAAATTTCCAGCTATATGGCGGCGGTCTGTAAATAATCGAGTCTGAACCAGACATTCCAGGTATCGACAACATGAACATCGACAGGGATACGATGACATGTGCCAACCAAGTCGGCGTGCCTGACCACCCGATCCCGTTAGTCGCTTCTTACGACAAGCATGGGTTTGCTGAGATCAATTCTAACGCCGCACTCAGCAAATTTCCAGCTATATGGCGGCGGTCTGTAAATAATCGAGTCTGAACCAGACATTCCAGTTATCGACAACATGAACATCGACTGGGATACGATGACATGTGTCAACCAAGTCGGCGTGCCTGACCACCCGATCCCGTTAGTCGCTTCTTACGACAAGCATGGGTTTGCTGAGATCAATTCTAACCCGGATCATCAACGGTGTGAATAAATGAAAGTACACTCTTCAAAAAAGAAAAGCATAGGTCAAAAATAAGGAAATGTATTAAACGTATTTAAGTGTACATACGTCGATGAAGCTTGAACATAGATGAAGGGAATTCGACACACGGATGAAAATATGTATTGTTGCAATTGTCAGTATTAACTCAGTTCACTGTACATATGTGGACACAAGGGGCGTTCAGGTCAGTACTTGGTGACACCACCCCTTGTTGCTGTCACTGCTCAACACCACCTTGGAATGGATTGGTGAATTCGTGGACTTTGCTTGGGGAATTCTTTCGCCATTCCTCCTGCAAGGCGTTGGCAAGTTCTGCGTAAGTGTCCAAGGACGATGGTGACTTTACGGAGGCGTCGGTCAAGTTCGTCCCATAGATGCTCGATCGAGGTTCAGATCAGGCGATTTGAAGGCCGCCAGGAATAATTGACGTTTGCATTGGCATGGAGATCACTCGAGCTGCGTGGGGTCGGGTCGAAACAGCTCTCTCTGGTGGTTAGAAAGTGGGAGGAGGTGCGGTCGCAGGATTTGGTCGATTTAGCGATTTGCTGTAAGATTGCCTTGAACCACCACTAGCTCTGATCTACCCGTGTAGGACATGGCTCCCCACACCATGACGCTCACTCCACCACATCCGTAGACCTGTCGAACGCAGTTCGGTGCAAAACGTTCGTGTTGCTGTCGATAGACACGTTGTCTCCCATCCCGTCGTTGAAGGAGAAAATGCGATTCATCGCGTAACTAAACACGATCCATGCGTTCCCCAGGTTCCCTGCCTGTACCCTGTTGCAACATTGGACACGTCGTTGTCGGTGTAGGCGTGTCATTACAGGTCCAACTTTTGGTCGATATGCTCCAATTCCCACTTCTCTCAGACGATTTCTGATGGTTTGGGCGGAAATTCTTCGAAGACCAGGCACCTAGCCTGTAATGTCCGTTGCTGTAGCAAATCGGTGACGTAGGTGATACACCCGGATTAATCATTCCGGAGCAGGAGTGGTGACTCTTGGTGTTCTCTACCCTGGTATTTTCCAATTGTCTCAATATGAGGATTGCTGTATATCACAATATTGCAAATATATCGCAATGAACTGCTGAAAACGCCTATGCGTTTTTGTAAGAGTGTATATAGGAAATTGCTCATATATCCATTTCAGGTTCGTGAGTGAAAATCTGGGAATAAATGAAGGAACCCTTGCACTTTCATGTCCCTCATATATTCCATTTCAAACAGTTTTGTTTTTGCTCTTCAGACTTACAAAAGATAATAGTGCTCTTCTGTCACATGTAATTTCAAGACAAAGAAAGTTCGAAGAGCCCCATGGTGAAACTGTAGGAAGCCGTTGCATTGTGACATATTAGGTTCTTCTTTATTCTTTCAGCTGAACTGCCAGCGGAACTTTATTGTTGCAATTGCATTAATCTTGTTATATTTAAAAGACCGTGTAGCTCTAGTTAACTCATTATCAAACGTTAAATATGCCAGATTTGATGTTCATGTAACATTGGCAGAAATAAAGATACACTGAAAAAATCATTGCAAAGAGCCAATTAAGTAATCGCAAAACACACAGGTAATGGCTCAGCAGAAGCATTCTTGTAATGTCAAAGGAGATGATGTTTACAGAGCCAACATGCTTTTAAAGTGCATACCAACAATAATTGTCATTTTTTAAAACCTTTTTCCCCCAAATTGGGTATTGACTGTATGGAATTGTAATTTTAGCTTAAAGTAATTGGGGTTGGCATCGGTGCGAGCATCTGTTTGATTGGTGGAACGGTTTCTGACGAGATGATGTTTACAATTCATTTTTGGTCCTGGGATATTCACTCTAAATATATTGCCTAATACCATATACTATTCCCAATGTTTTCTGGATAATACAGTGTTTGCAATTGCCTACCAGTCAGATTTAGGAAGGTGCTTTAATAAATTTGTTTTCTTTTGCTGACGTTATCATCCACAATGTCGTGCTGTGATGCAACATTGATACTTTGGTGTATGAGTCAGATGGACCACTGTAGACTGTGAAAATGCCATCTTTCGAGGACTCTAAAATCTTTTTGACACGATACAATTACATGCAATACAGATTCTGAATGCGTTTCTTGATTTGTCAAAATTGTAGGTGTGGTGAACATTTACAACCTGCATCACATCCAGCTTTTCATCCACATCAAGGTTACGCTCTGTGATATACTGCTGAAAGAAGTGTCGAATGACATAGTTATTGAATATTTGTAATAATCATGATTAAGGAGAATTGGGACACGATGTAAATCAGAATAGTATTCTTTATGGTATGGTAGGATGAGGTTGTCATACCTCTGGTTCATTCTCTGAACTGGTTCATTTTGCTGTTTCAGGGTGGTGTGGACTGTGTTGCTTTTGGCAATGGCTGGAGTGTGTCTGAAGACGCTAACTGATCTTTACAGCAGGTACTACAGCTACAGCTTCACCACCAAGATTACAAGGGAACGCAAACAGCAGATCAGGTTTCCTTCTATCACTATATGTAACCGGAACAAGTTTCACATAAGCCAAAAGAACCTTAATGACACACAACTCAATTATCTTCGACATACTGGGGACCTAGAAGAAATATACCCGTCTATTGACTGGAATGGGAAGGAGGGGACCGAGCTAAATAAGATGGATAATGTCAAATTCTGGGAAAGAGGGGCATACAAAGAAGAGGATATGTTCAAAATGACATATTTCAAGAACCAACCTTTCAACGTGATGAGGCTGAACTACAGTCAGAAACAAGATCAACGCTGTTTCACATTCAACGGTGGTGATTTCGTGTCCGAAAATAGCGGACTGACCTTTGTTATTGACATCATGCAATGGACCTATTTGGATGGAGGAGTATACGAGGCCGGGGTTACGGTAAAAATGTTTATATCTTTCAATTGTTGATACATATGATAATATTCCAGGGACAGAAAAGTATTAAGGTGTTTAATTAGGCCATTACCTCATTAAATATGACAATACCATTTTTATCTTACTGTTCACAGCAAACTCTGAAATGAAACATGTCTCCAAATTACAAACCCATGAAGATCCCGGTTAGAATTGGTCTTCAGTAACCCATGCTTGTCGTAAGAGGCGACTAACGTGATCGGGTGGTCAGGCACGCCGACTTGGTTGACACATGTCATCGTATCCCAGTCGATGCTCATGTTGTCGACAACTGGAATGTCTGGTCCAGACTCGATTATTTACAGACCGCCGCCATATAGCTTGAATATTGCTGAGTGCGGCGTTAACAACACACCCACCAACCAACCCCAAATTACAAACTGGATAAGGTGTGATGATTAACCTTCGCCTTCAATGGCGAGTCCATAACTTAGCATGACCATGAACTCAAGAGGCAAATGACATGTTGATGGAACAGTCAATTATAAAATCCTCCTCAGGTTGGTTTCCATCCGCGATTATTCAGTTTATATTTTCTCCATTCTATTTGAAAACAAATATCCTGTACCCATTTGTCACCTTCGTCGCACCTATCTGTTATTCTACGTTTCGACCCTTGAAGATTCCAAATTATAACTTATCTACAACTACCCAGAGTAGTTTTCAAACAATATTTTGAGCTCTCGAGATTGTTTTGTTTCACCCAAATCAGGTCTCTATCGATGAACCAGACACAGCCCCGAGCTATAGTGATGATGCAATAACTGGTGTCTCAGTCGGGACGTCCACACGCTTAAAGATGACAAAGAAAGAGGTACGTTTGTGTCGGGAATATTCAGACGCCTGTTAAATTGTAGATACCCTAAACCCCTAAATTAACAGGTGTCCTCCTACATACCAAGAAAGAATATTGGTTACGTGGGGATTTCAAGTTCAAAACTATTTTTTAGCAACCTATGCTTATCGACTGTTCAGTCCTCGGTGGTCACCCATGATTTAACAGACCTCTCATTTGCACGGATTGTGTTGATACTAAGTCTCGGACGAGTGTCGCATAAGAGCACACAATCCCGTGCATCTCGAGTCCAACTTTGCCAACAAAAAACATGTATGGGCTTGTGATGTTGTTGAATTGCGGTTCTCATCATATGTCTACAGATGAAATACCTTCCGCACCCATATAATTCCCGCGGGACGGACTGTGTGGACACGAAAGCCTCGCACTTTGTCAACCCCCTGGAATGGTTCAAGGTGTACAGCTTTGACGGGTGTCTTCAGGAGTGCTCCAATAAGGCTGCCATGGATGCCCTGTAACTGCACCGCAGGATGGGAACCTCGTCAAGGTACTTATATGTTTTCATTTTCACAACAAAGGACAAGTAACGTTCAATGATAACAATAACGCATTTGATACCGTTGGATGGGAACCTCGATTAGGTGTCGCTATTCATATTTCAATTTATTCTGGTTCTTTTTTAGATACAAATAAAAGTGACTCTGTCATTTTGAGCATTTCTCAAAACCTGAATACATGACGCTTTTATGGATAACAATGTCTGTTTATTCTAAATACGACGTTCCAGAGCTAGTTCTTTCTCCTTCATCAGGTGATCAATATTGAAGGAGCAAGGATTAGCTCTGAAACGTCGTATGAATAATAATAAGTTCTTATCCAAAAAAACTTGTCATGTATTCATGTTCGTCCAACTTCTAAATGCCTTTCAAGAACTTTCTAAAAAGTATAACTGGAACAAGATATAGATAAACGGGTGTCTGTATTTTCTATCCTGTTTCCTATCAGTATCAGTAATCATAATATCAATAGCAAATATGATACAAACACAGCTCTTCTCTGAAATTATGGCCTTTAAACTCACTGGAGCAGAGGCATTTGTGTTAAATTGATTGGCGATATCTATTCCAGCCTCTGCTCTGTAAAGGAACTCCACACGTGTTACTGTCCCAAAAGCAGTAAGTTTATTTCTATGGCACGTATGTTACAACCAAATAGTACCTTTGGTTATTAAATGTCCATGGCTGTATTTCTAATTTTGCATTGTGTTTGTGGTTCTTGTAAAATGACCTTGTGTCCAGCATCCACTTTCGGAAACCTTAAGTTTTATTGAGGGTTTTAGTTTGAAATGTTCGAAATGTACCAACACAATGCCTCTAGTAATTTTGAAGGCTGTTTTGAACATAGCTAGCCCTGACGTGCCGTTTATTGCAATATCAGGTTTATCTGTGTCAGGAACTGTCTTTGCAAACGTGTCCCTGCAATTTATTTGATGACCTCTTGATTCAATGTAAAATTACATAATGATATTGAGATACCGCCATATGAAACCATGTATATATTTGATCATGTAAGACTCTCTCTATATATATTTAGATCAAGTACAATCGGAAGCCAGAATGGGGAAGAATTGTGCATGTCGGTACCCATGTGAAGAGACATCGTATGACATACAAGTGTCATCCATGGCGCTGCCATCAAATGTCACGTTCCTCTCTAATCTACTGCAAGCAGCATATACCCGTGTAATGATGAGGTGAGAACAGATCTAAAGTGAAGCAGCTCTTTGATAAGTTAATATTTCATCTTCGAAATTACTAATCGCGATGCAGCGAGAATTTATTGTACAGTAAATATGCATGAAAGAGTTTCCACTGATACGCGTTACATCATTTAACATTTAATTTAAGATGTGTACAAACGGTGTGGACAAAATATAACGACAACTTCCATAAAGAATTTAATGTGGACTCTGCAGCATGAATTCAGCTATATAACAAGCATGTGTGTAATCACTTGCTATTAGTTAGTAGTGGTACCAGGTCTTAGCATGTCCCAGCGGTGGCCTCTATCAAACACACTGGTAAAGGCGTTTACCTGATATCACACGACGACGTGTGGAAAAGTAAAAAAGAGAAATGCATCGGACATTATTTTTTACTCTCTTGCTTCAATTTTGGAAATATCAGACCATCTATGAATTGAGCCTTTTACTAGGGCATCTAATGTTCTAACAATACTCGAAAAACCTTGAAATCAGCGCTCAGGCCATAAACATTTTGGTCATGTTTTTTTTTATTCAGACAAAATATCCTGATTGTACAGATAAGGTTATCCAACATGGTAGTTGACAGGGCGGAACACAAGCCGGACTTGGAGCTTGGTGATATATTTGGTCTGTATGAACTTTATGCATTTATGTAATTACTCAAAGTTTGATTTGGAGAAAGTATATATTATATAAGAGAATATCCAACAAATACAGATTAAACTATGGTGGTGTGTGGTCCTGTGCAAAGAGCTCAGGTCACAAATCAGTTGAAGTTAAGCAACGTTGAACGCAGACTGTCATTGTATAGGTAACCGTTTGGGGCAGATTGACTCCTGAGAGTTTCTAGGACTTCAGTCCTGCCCCACAACGAACCACATGTGGTCTCAACTTGGACAAGTGAGTTTGATCAAAATCGCTTCTGATCACCCAGCAAAAATTGGTACCCTGTGGAATAAGCCATGAGACTATCAACCTTCTAGCGACTGACGGGCGGCTTGGGTTATCCATGGTAATTATAATCAGATTGTGCGCTTTCAACAGGATATGAAGCCTGGAAAGCCGCATCATAAATATTATCATTATTAACTATCCTGGTACTGGGAGCTGAATGTGACGAACGGACAGGTTGATGGAGTCGTGATGTGTTTGACACCCTATATCTGTATGTGATCAGAGAGCACAATAGATATTCAATCTGATGATTGCAAGACCTGAATTTACTTATGCCTAGGTATACTAAGAGTCAAACATGTCTTTTGACGATCGCTGTATCGGGCATAGTAGAAACTGGGTCAACACAGCGTCACGTTGCAAACGTCTTTAGTGTGAGCCAAAGGCATCGATGCCAGACGTTTGGATCAGTTGCCCATCAACTAGCTTGTGGTCGACAGTGCTACACCTCGGAGAGACAGGTTTCTCCTGGCTGCAGCAAGACGTCATCACTTTGAGGTCACTTTGAGCGATCCTCAATAACTTGTGTACAGTTAAAATACTGTTCAACGAAATGTCCAATTCATTCACTCGCTCACTAACGATTGTTTTAGTTCATATGTTAAAGCGATGCTCGAAATATTCCAAATCTTCAGTAGGTAGAGAATCAGCCATGTCATTTTCGGTTGAGGCTTATGAGCATATGACATTGAAAAGATATCCTACCTCAGATAAGAAATGACACCATTGACTACTCACTGGTTGTCCTGATAAGAAAAGTGAATTAGTGAATATGGTTTTACGCCGCTTTTAGCAATATCACGGCGGAGAGCACCAGAAATGGGCTTCACACATTGAACCTATGTGGGAATCGAACCCTGGTCTTCGGCGTGACGAGCGGACGCTTTAATCACTAGGCTATCCCACCTCCCCGATAATAATAAATTTCATAGGAGACGTTGGTATGTCTCAAAGGACTGTCTGAAAGCTTAGAAGCATGTGCCGAGAATGGTAATTTGAGGAAGAAGATGATTCCAGATTTGATTCACCGTTGCTTCTTGGCTGTAAGTGATGGAAATGTTATTGGCACTGTAAATTCTAGGTCATGACGGGATATTACAAGCTCACATAGACACATTGTGGTGGTTTTTCCCTGTGGGAAACATTCTCGTTTCACTATACTGATAAACGTCAACCTGACGTCTCCTTGTGTACCTTTGCAGCCAGAGTTGGTGGTCAGATTGGACTGTTCCTTGGGGCAAGTATACTCACCACCGTAGAACTGCTGGAACTATTGGCCGCGTGTTTGCTGGCAAGCTTGACGTCACTGTGGGCCAGATATAAACCTAAAGGTTGAAGAACACAATGGACCCTGGTAACCCAGATAGATCACTCATTTTTTATTATCATTCTCTAAATAATGTACTAATGATATGTTTTCACCACTCAGTGTTCGAAGTGTTTGTATGTTTTTCATAAGTTTTCCATCATAAGGGATAAATATTTCAATGTAAAAACTGTTAAGGATCTTTTTAGTTATGTTAATTACCATTTTATTATCGAATTTTTCAAAGAAATAGAACTCATAGATGAATTTTGATTCAAATGTTTTGTAGATTAATGCATTTTAGTATTGGTGATTTAAATTAGAAAGTGATTTTTTATGAGTGGCTGTACCTTCGAAGGGGGTTGACGTAGGGTAAAAATATTGTAAAAAAACATTACAAGTAAATTTAAGTCTACAAGGTTTTTTAATCGTAGTATTTTTGTCATTTTAATGTATGGCTAAATCTCAGCATAAACGCCAATGGCTGAAGGGATGGTGTAAATCAAGCTAGGGTCCATGCAGGTTGCAAAAGTAATGTAAGTCCCCATGGACCCTAGTATGGTGATCTAGGATATAGAATCTGTTTTAGTCACGGTATGGCTGATATATTGCCGATGTCACTTTAAATCTTAACTCACTCACTCATAGGTTTTCTAAATGATTTTTCACCATAAAAGAAAAACATTTCAGTGTGTTTGTTTGTTTGTTGTTTAACGCCGCACCCAGCAATATTCCAGCTGTTTGGCCGCGGTCTGTAAATAATCGCTTCTGGACCACACAATCCTGTCATCAACTGCATGAACATCGATCTACGCCATTGGGATTCGATGACATGTGTCAACCAAGTGAGCGAGTCTGGCCACCCGATTCCGTCAGTCGCCTCTTACGATAAACAAAGTTTGTTGAAGACTGATTCTAACCTAGATCTTCACGGGTCAAAAACATTTCAGAGACATATTTATCCAACAATGTAACCCTTTAGTTCCGGACATTTTCTATTTCTCTCAGAACGATATGTATTGCATTTGCATGCATTGTTTTCAACAGAGATCGTTTCTATTTGCAATAAATATTGGTTTGCCTTTGTTCCAGACTGTCCACTGAATTTTGTTCCCCTGATGTGTGCAGTCAGCTGTGGACGTGAAGTTCATATCCCTCGTTCCATGGAATATATTTCTTAAAATGGACATGTGGCTTTTTTGTGGTTCTTTCTCGTGGACTTCACGTGTGTCGCTTTGATAACTTTGTCCCTGTGTATACGACGGGTCAGAGGCATTCTGTTTCAAAGTGATGCAATCTGTTACAGGACATTTGCAACCATTTCTAATATGAAAAAAACCCAAAGCAACACAACGGGAATATCGCTGTAAACCATAAACGTAACGTTTATTTTTCTGGTCCGGTTGTTCTTTAAGAGTCAAATATTATCAATACATAACAATAAAACACGTAAATAGAATACATGTATATGTTTTCAAGTGTGTGCCAGACCT